TGCAGAGTATGTGGAAATATGCATTTATAGAAAAGAAAAGATTATTTCAAAGAAGTCAAAATAAAAACGTCATCCTGTTCTGTCCATTATTTACCTGATTTTCTTTTCAGTACTTATTTTTAAGATAAATACTGAAATGTATTGAAGTAAAATAAATCTATGGCATCATTTTTGCAAAAACAGTTGGATTTTGTATATTATGAAACCTTTAACATTTCTGATGGTTAATTTGATGTTGCTTTTTAAGTCTAGGTAAGCAATAGAAAAAAAGTTCTTCCAGGCAGAATGCTTTTTTAGACCTCCATCCATCCTCTGAAATGTTTGTCAAAGAACTCTTTGGGTGGCATGTCGTGTGTAGGAGGCCGTCAGTCAGTAATGATCTTTGTAATGTGAGAAAAAGATGAAGGGTCTCAGAGTGCAGAGGTAGACAAGCATGCCTCAAAGCCAGGAGGAATTCCAGGACAGGAACATTTCACTTCTAATGCTCAAAAGCAACACTCACAAAATGTAGGCATTTCTTTTATTATACTTAATACAAATGCACTGAGTTTGAAGATTATGTCTATGATAAGATACAATTAAAGATAGGCAGATGGAGAAGAACAATTCTGTCAGAGGCGATAACATTAATGCAAGGCTGTCGTGATCCTGGTTTTTGGTTGGAGTTTTCTTGTTAATTTCCTTTAAAATTGGAGTTAATTGCTGTAGCTGTTTTTAGCTTTTTAATTATCTCCCTGAGTGAATTTAAATTCACCTGTGTTTTTATGGGATCCTCTGTTGTGTTCCGTTGTCGACTGGGTTGTACTCTCCTACATGGTGGTGCTCACAGTTCTTGATTCATTAAAGAATAACCTTTTTGTTAAAAAAGGTTTTATTGGCTCTAGTGGCCTTTATTTGGTAGTGAATTGACAGGAAAGAGGGTAATGAGAGAGAGGGAAGACATGTGGCAAAGGTTGCCAGGCTGGGAATCAAACCTGCAACAGCCGCTTCGAGAACTAAGGCCTCCATATGTGGGTTGTGCTTAATCCCTGCGCCACCACAACACCCAAACAAGAACCTTTTGATATACCTGGTCGTCTATCTGCTCTGTCTCGTGACAAAGTGATGAGAAAGAGCAGATCTTGTCTCTTTGCTACAGACATTGCTACAGCATATCTAATAAATAAAGATAATCAAGTAAAATTTGATTTAGCCTCTCTTGTTTCAGGTCAGTTGGATTTACCCAAAGTCAGATTACGTCTACATGAAATGTACTCCACCTGTGTGCTCCTTTACTCTTATAGGACACTGTATGTTCCTTTCTCTTTGGGAAGAGACTATTTTTAACATCACTCTAATTCATTCTCACATCAGTTCCTAATACTAAGACTCATCGTCTCTCTTTGCTGTTCCATAGTGTGCCAACGCCTTCAAGAATCCTTCCCTGGAACCACACACACTCATTCAGATTCATCTTTGTATTTCAATAAACAATCTTTAACTGATTTCCTGTTCTCCTGTTGTGTTCTGCATGTGGGTGAAGAAAATAGCCCCAAACATGACAGAAGGTCTATTGCAGGGGTATAATTCTGGACTGACTGCACAGAGAGAAGTGTATGGAAGCAATATAGACTATAGACTGACACCATGGCCTGTAAAAGTTTTTACATTAAATACTAAAACTTTTAATATTTTTTAAAACAAACTTTTAATTGTGAACACTTTCCATATATGAAGCTTAGGCTTAGACTTAGACTTCCTTTATTGTCATTGTACAAAAAAAACACAAGGTGAATCTTGACAACGAAATGTCGTTACTTGGCTACCAGTGCAGCAGAGCTAAAACCTTATATTACCCATAAATAAATAATACAATACAAGTGCCATAGAATACACAGGTTCAGTGTTGTGAACAAAACTAAACTAAAGTGCATGTATTGACCATGTCCATGGGGGGGTCATTTGGTTTGTGAGTGTGTGGAGGGGTGTTATGTGGCGTTAAGCAGTCTGATGGCCCGGGGAAGAAACTGTTCAGTAGTCTGGTTGTTCTGCACAAGATGCTGCGGAACCTTCTTCCAGACGCCAGGGGGAAAACAGTCCATGGTTGGGATGGGTGGGGTCGGAGAGGATCTGGTGAGCGCGAGATAGGCAGCGCCTCTCTGCGATGTCCTTGATGCAGGGGAGCAGAGCCCCCGTGATCTTCTCCCCTGTCCTCACCACCCTCTGTAGAGACTTCCAGTCAGAGGCCCTGCAGCTCCCAGACCAGATGGAGATGTAGCTGGTCAGTTGGCTCTCGATGGTCCCTCTGTAGAAGGTCTGAAGGATGGGGGGCGGGAGGGATGCTCTCTTCATCCCACGCAGGAAGTGCATGCGCTGCTGTTTCCTCCATTTCTACAAACCATAGGCATGAGTTGTACACCACCATGTTTTTCATTCCTTGAGCCCGACATGTCCTAAACACAAAGTATGTAACTGATTTAAAGTTTGCACAATTATCTAAAAGTATAACACGCATAAATGATATATTGGAGTCAAGCTCAAAAATTCTAATTGGGTCACTGTTAAAAAATTCAGTCAAACTATGCTAACAGCAAAAGATTAAATTTGTCAGTCAAGGTGCTTAAAAATACCACAGATTTGAGGTTGAGAAACAGAAAAAATTGTTAAAATAAGTAATAGTGATTCTTGAGAAGAGGGACAAAACAGGTCCTAGGGCTAAAGCACAAAATTTGAATAAAGTATACACAAAATATATATTTTTAAAAATATCTGACTAAACTAACCTGGGCCATGTGAGCACAATAATGTTTTCCTGGTGTTTGCTGAATATTTTTTATTTTAAACTTTGTAATAAGTGGATGGTGTCCTGGATCCCTTGTCCTGGAGCAGAACTCAATACATGATGGTAGCATTTAGCTGTTGCAAATCTGCCACCTGGAGAGGGTTAAAACTAATTATTAGGGGGCATCAGAATGTTTAAGGACCTCATGACCTCTTCCTTTCTCTTCTTTGTTAAGAAAGCTAGGCAGCTTTGGTTAGAATATGTTATTCTTTAGTTTTTTCTTCTGTTTTTTGTCACAACCATGTCGTGTCGACACCATAACTGACAATTTCCAAGATTTTGATGAAATTTTGTGTATACTACAAAGATTTCATTTGGTATACTGTAAAGCTGATGAGCTGCAATATGTCCTCCTTCAGAATAACATCATATTAATTGAGGTAGTTTGGCATTTTTTTTTAAGTTTTGAACTGACAGTCTGCCTCTTTCAGTGATGTTGACAAATCTCACTTACATGTGCAGTTAATTCATTTTAATGTATTTTACATAAATTGCATCACTTCACATGTATCAAGTATTTCTTTATACTCAGTAGTTTGTCACCATCTTCAGTTCTGTGTCAACTCTGTCGGATGGACTTTATGTTGTTTTTTGTTTTAAATAATATTTATTTTGTTTCTTGAGAAGCATTTGTCTGTAAAACTGAGTAAAAATATCACTAATAGGGCCATTAAAAATAATTTTATATTTATTTTGTCAGATGGAATTGACAAAGTTCTGGGTCAGGTTCGTTAAAAATTAAATTTTCAAATAACTGCTGCAACTGGGAGCCTGCACCTTAGCATCTTTACATTTCCAAAACATTATATGTCATATTTGAATACATAAGATTAAGGAATAATTAAATTTTTTGGGGGGGGGGGAGGGTTTAATCCCATTTTGTCCCACTTCTCAAGAATCACAGGGTAGGGATTTAAAAATAAACCAACAACGTGAAAAGATGGCATACTTTAAGGAGAGACTAGAGATTTGTTTTTGGCAGACCCTGTTCAAAATAATTGTGATGTTTGTTGAGTTATGATAAAATTGTTATTTGGTGACATGAATTTAATTTAAGCCGTTTTGCGCACCAAACACTTCTAAAATTTCTACTGTAGGCTTGGCTTTTTAATTTCTATTTTTCATTGACTCTGCTTTATTGTTATGCGTCTTATTTTATTGTGGTTTTTGGATTATTGTACACTTTGGTGCAGTCTTTGTGCTGTCTTTTAAAGTGTTTCATAGATATATTGATATTGACTTTAAATCTCAATCTTTTACATGTATTACAAAATGGGGGGTTAACTGTATATTATCTTAATTTTAACACGCTGCAATGGAAATTACTGAACGACAAAGACATTTAAAAAAAATGGGTTAAAGCTTCTTTTTTAAGGTAATAGTCTACAAAATAAGTCAGGCCAAATAAATTTGCAAGTGAAAACAAATTCCACAACATTGTATGTAATGTCCATGTTCTTATTGTCTCAGATCAAAACTCTGAAACTAAGCATTGATTTCTGGGTTTTTCAAAGAAAACAAATACAACAATGAAGCGATTCCATGTAAGTTAAAAGTAAAATTTGGTCATAGGGATGCTGACAGAAATTGAACAGCATAATGGCATTATATAGGGAAGCTGTTGTAGACCACAAAGTGGAGCATTTACAGGATGACAGCAATGGATAAAAGAAATAAACAGCTTTCAACCCAAACAAATGTATGGAAGCCCGTTTCTGCCAATCTGTTAAAAAAAAAAAAAAAAAAAAAAAAATATATATATATATATATATATATATATATATATATATGTATATATATATATATATATTATATATATATATATATATATATATATATATATATCTCATTATAATGAAATACTATCTCATTATAATGAAATCCTATCTCACTATTTTGAGACACTATCTCATTATAGTATCTGAGATAGTATCTGATTACTATCTCATTATAATGAGATGATTTTTTAAATTTTTTTTAACAGAGTGGCAGAAACGGGCTTCCATACAAATGAATACAAAAGTTAGAAAATATTGTAATGAAGGGAATACTGTCCAAAGAGATGTAATACTATTACTACTACTAATACTACCACTAATAATAATAACAGTAATAATAATAAGATTTATATTTGTCTATTAAAGGCAGATGGAAAGAGAAGACCTAATGTAACGGACAAGAAGGGAGGTGAGATGAGATATGGAAAGTGAACATAGCAGGATTTCATTCTGCCGCAGCCTGGAGGAGGAGAAGGAGGAGGAGGAAGAAGGCTGACGCGGGACGTTTGTGGAGCAGAGCACCGCGGATTTCCTCCAGCTGGCAACCAGGGGCACAATGATGGGAATAACTGTGGAATGATAAAGACCGTTAGCTCAGGATGGGCAGGCGCAGAGATCAGCTTTAACTTCAGCCGGTGGCGGTTCAGCTTGGAAATGGTAGGAGCAAACCTGGTCGTCACAGTAATGTCTTTACTGTATTCCTAAAAGAGACGCGACCTAAAGAGTGAGAGGACAAACATTGGCCACGCAGCTCAACTAAATCATTAATTCCCCTTGTATTTCATAGAGCTTTGTGTCGGAGGCTGTTTTTCTGTCTTTGAGTTCTTCAGCAGTTTTATGCCGCTCCGCGACATCACACTCCTGTTCCTTTCAAACCTAGCAAATAAACTATTCCTTCTACGGAGACACACGCACGGCGTCACCGCTCAGCCCGCAGACAGCGGAGGGTTTAAGGACTCACATATTACACCTAACCATAAGATACTTAATATTAGAATTAAGTTAACTTTTACAGTCGAGTCGTCCTCTCATCCAGTTGGCGTTATCAGTCAAACACTCCGTCCAAGGCGGAAGTGCAAAGCGTGGATCCATCATTTAAGTAACAGTCCAATCGGATGAAGCTCACTTTTTTGATCACATACAGGCCGAATGTAACACACGGGCCTGAAACACCATTAGCTGAACTGTCACCCACCAAACGATACATTTTCCTATTCTAACAGGATAGAGTATTTAAACTCTCGCAGTTTTCACCGGATTCTGGCTTCTGTTGGTTCTGCCTTGTGAAACGGGCTTGCTGGAGCAATCCAGCTTTTATATGATCCGCAAAGGTAGTATTATAGCCTTTGCTGTGAGAATGGCTCGATCAATGTGTTAATAAAAGTTGTGTTGGTCGGTGCTTTGGAGCAAAGCAGGCCTTTCTGTATTCCGATCACCAGCGGGACAGTAAAAGGCCAAGCTGAAGTTCAGTTGCTGCTGCCTCCTCCTCCACCTCCTCCCCTGTGTGGAAGGCTGGATTTTTTTTTACGTGTTTATGTTAGTCAGCAGAAAATGGCTGCAGTAAAAGCCAGGGGGTTGAGTTAGAAGGAGAGGCCGACAGAGGGCCTCCTTCCCTGGCGTAGAGACAAGGAGGCAAGCTGCTGTGAAAACACATCTTCAGCTCTCTGTCTATATATCTGTCTAGCTAGCTGTTATGACCACTGCATACACTTGCTCTGATTGGACTTGTTCATATTGTTGACCAGGACAAAAAGGAAATCACAGATATAAGGATCCTCCACTTCCATCCTTTGTCAAAAGTGTGTACTTTCATGTTTAACATTAAGTCCAACTTAATGTATTATGGAAGCTAAACCTTTCTAGACCCCATTGTTTTTAATTTGGGCACAGATCCAAAACATATTTACAATATAATTGTGAATAAAGCTGTAGTACAATAAACTATGAAAAAAGTGAAGTGCTGTGATAACTTCCTAAATATGCTGTATATTGTTTCAGTTGACCAGGTGGCTTCTGAAATCTGTGATGCAGACAAATTTCTTGTGGTTTATATTTGAATCTTAAGAATGGCCTGGATTTATAGAGCCTTAGAAGTCAAAATGAGCACTTAAAGTATTTTACACTAGAGTCACATTCACTCAACCACACACCAATATGTAGATTAGTATGCAACTTGTACTTAACTTTACAATTTCAAGGTGACCAACTACTCTTTCCACTCAGCCACAGTGTTTAAAAGCATCTTCTGCTGTATTCTGAGAATTAGAAGTCTATTACCAGCGATGCCGTTGAAAAGCTACCAAGAGAACTATCTGGGAAAATGTCAATCTCAACTGAAATTAATTCTTTAAATGTAAACTCAACTTTTTAAGTTTTATGTCAGCTTTTGATTGCTTTGAACAGCTGATCAGCAGCTGGTATTGAAGGGAGTGTCTGTTATTGCATTGCTTCTGCTGAAAGAAATGCACCAATTTAAGCACATATGCATCTGTAAGTTTGTATTGATTTTTACAAATCAGTGTCTTTAATTAATTCATTATTCTAGAGTTGATTTTATTCATATATTGGTTATTTTGATAGCCCTAAACTTAACTACTAAGATGCTTCTGCATAGTCCTCATCCATTCCCTGTCATCCTCGCTGAAGGCTGTTTTTTTCTTGCTTAGCAATTCCTAAGGATAGTCTTAACTCAGACGTTTGTATACTGTATTTATTATTCATGGCACTGATGTCCCCTCCATGTGGCTACCATACTGTAAGAGAAAAACAAAGCTGTGTGTAGCCTCACCAGCAACAAACCCCAACAAAGAGCAGACTACCATGCAACATAGTTCTATACAATCATAGTAAATGCAGTCTGAAGCAAGTGCCACGGTGCTAAAAATGTATTTCTTTTCATTATGAATCAGTTTTCCCTTTCATCTCTTTGTTGACTGGCTGTGTCATTTGTTTCAGTTAATTTTTGCTGTTAAAAACATGGATTAAAATTTTTTCATTAGAAAATTATACAAAGAAAAGTAAAAATAGCTTCTGAAATTATTTTTTGGTTTTGTATTACTTTAATGTTTTGCCATCAGTTTAATGAATTTGTTTGCCAAAAGATTTCACATTAGCCATTTTAACTGAAGGAAGGGATTGAACTTCTGTCATGCTCTCTAGTTTGGATCCATTAAAGCTCCTCTTTATCTGACCTGAGGTTCTCACTGCTAATTTCAGTATCATTTGAACCTTTGACGTATCAGTCAGCACTTCCTGGTTGCAAAACTCCATCTGATTCCTAAACCATTTTGTTCCTTTGGTTACACATCACAGCAAAAGCACAGAAAGTAACAGCAAAAATTAACATAGCTGCATGATATCCAAAATCAGCAGGAAAAATAATTCAAAAAGCAATATTTCACCCTGAAAAAACAAATGAATACATCCAACTGCTTTTGATGTTTTCCAATATTTAAATTGCTTTAAATACTGTTTACAGCTTTAGCAATGGTAGGCTAGGAGGAGCTATATTGTCACATATTTGTGGGGTGCACTAATTATTAAATCTCTGTTTTCCATCTAATGAGTTAACAATACAAATTATCCACTAAATAAATCTGCAACACCCCAACTTTACAGGGTATTTAAAAGATATAACCATGGCTTATGAGGCTGGTCACCTTATGGCATTCTTGTCATTAAAAAGTCCACAGAGGAAAAATAAGAATATTTTCTTACAGCTCATGTGCTCTCCTCTGTACAAAGTGCAAACTAGTGCACATGAAATTAAAATAAATGAAGCATTGTTTCAAAACACTTTTCTTGCTGAACACATGTTCCCACCACTTACTCAAGTCTAAAAGGGACTGGAAATTTATAAAGTTATCAATGTTTTTAAAGAGCAGTTCTGTGTACATTTAATATGTATTTTTTCTTAGCTCTACTCCCAATGATGTGGGCTGGTTTCTGCCACCTAGTGCAGTAAGCATGCATGACAATTGGGAAAATAAACATGAACATGATAATTGGCTGTACAGTTAAGTGCCAAATGTTAATTTGGCACCAAATGTGGCTCTGTTGGAGAGAACTCCAGTTGAAACCACAGCAGCTACAACAGCCCAGCCAATATTAGCTTTGGGCTAACACCAGGAAATCCAGTCAAAAATAACATATCAGCTTACTACAAAGATGATCTTGGTGTTTAAAATTATCGCTCCTAAAGAAACAGTAGCAGCAACTTTTCTTAGACTCTGTATCCTTATTTGACATGAGACTTGGGCTAAAAAAACCAAATCATCACAGTAAATCTTAGAACTCTGAGCTAAGAGCTTGAAAGTGGCCAGTATTAAAAAGCCACTGAAAGTGTATCTATTCTGAGTCCCTCCCAGATGACTGAGCTTCTCACTCTATTTCTAAGGGAGAGCCCAGACACCCAACAGAACCTCGCTCTTTCTTTGAAATCAAGCAATGAAAAGAAGAGGGAATAAAGGAGGGAGGAAGGGAGAAGAGATTGCCTGAGAGAGCCAGTGAATTCCAGCAGCACTGAATTTAGTTGTTCTGGGTCAAGACAATAAAATTTCTTTCATTATATACAACAAACTTTACAGACTAACAAAAAGAAAATGGGTCATTGATCTGCAAAACAAATAACCAGATAACAGAATGACTAATAGCAACAAAATAAAATAACCAAACAAAAACAAGAGAAACAAACAGACAAACAAGGAAGTATACATCAAAATAGATTAATTCAAAACAAAGACAAAACACTGTACATAATCAATGGGTGTCTCAACAAAAACAATGAAATTGTTTAACACATGTGGATTAGGGTATACTTTTTTCTTTTAATCTTGGTTGTTATTTTCTAATTTGAATTATTATTCAAATTTGAAATTATTACAATGAAAAATGAAAAAATATATTAGGCTCTCCCATTTTCCTTTTCCTTCCCTCATTTTTGTTTCCGCAGTAACATTAACTTACCGGCAATAAAATGGCATCTAGAATTATTTCATTAAAATATTCAAATTAATTTTTATCTATTGCTGATTGTTATTCCATTAATATCTGTTGTGTATGTAGATTTAGACATTGTAAGGTACTGATATTTTTCCCTATTTTTCCAGTTATAAAAATGTTTTCTTGGCGATAGTCAGGGCTACAAGCAGCAGGGTTTGGGTCTGCTTGGAGTTTATGTTCAGTTCTTCTAAATTACCATGGGGGTAACTGGATGTTGTGGCCAGAGATTTGAGACAGTTTGGTGATTGTTTCTTTTCAGAAGTTTTATGTTGGTGGACAGAGCCAGAATGTATGGAGGTGGTCATCAGTCGGGTTAAGTGCACAATGTGTGCTATTGTCCGATTCTGTAAATCTTGTGCTGTGTGAGATGTGTCCTATGAATTATTTTATATTGTATCAACTTTGTATAAAATTTGAAAAGAGTTCAGATGAAGCAGAAGAACTTCTAGCTGCACCTCGAGAAAGCTTTGGTGCACCTGTTGGTGTTGTAGGACATGGAGAAAATGTTATGGCAAACATTATTCCAAAATTGATTATGTGTGTGGTGAATGGTAAGGTATTTTCCCATTTTCACTGTAAAACATTACAGTGAAAATGAAACACATTAGAATGTGTTTCACTGTAATGAAACAAATACAATGAATTAAAGGTGGTTT